GCCTTTCTGGCTGTGGGGTTGACTCACAGAGCACCCTCTCACTGTTCCTTACCCTGGCAGCCCACAAGCTGCCAGTCCCCCACGGGGGATGCCCTGCAGCCCCTCCTGGTGCCAACAAGGTGTCAAGGTTAAAAGTAAAAGCCGTTGCTATAATGCAGGTTTTGCAGGCATGCAGAACCATTATTTCCTCCAAGAGGCATTGCTTTGTCTCATCTAAAATGAGATGTCTCATCTCATCTTTGTCCCATCTAAAATGGGACACTTACACAGCTCCTGCGGGTGGAAACCAATCCTGAAAATCACAACCTGGGAGTGACAATGCCCTTAAATACACATTTCCTCCCTACTCCAGCCTTCCCCCAACGTGAACCAAGTGCTTCCCCCACTCAGTGCTTGCTGAAGATACCAGTTGTAACACAGCAAGGGCAATGTGTTGTCACCATCTGGCAGAAGGGACACAAATGTTGTACAGAGTAAATCAAAATTCTCCGCTGGGGTGTCTATGCCACTGAGAAGGAAATTCTCTTGTCTCATCAGCAAGTTGGTGGAGACCAAACTATTCATAAATCAAAAAAATAAAATAAAAAAATAAATGGAAAACTATTTAACACAAATGAACACCTACCGTTTACAGAAACAACAGAGGTAATTTATCATTACCTTTTCAAAAATCCTGGGCATGATTATAACCAAACATTTCCCAAAGGAAGGCTGATGGGGGCGGTGACTACATCCATATACCAGGCTTTGGTGGACACAGTATCAAAAAAAGGGTCTTTCATTGCTGTATAACACCATGATTACTTCTGCCCTTAGCATCCATATACTATGCTTGTGAATATGAAATCTGGGATATTTGTGATATTTGTGTTGTAAGAACAGTCAAGCGTATTTTCTGTGTTGTGTAAAAAACGTGGTGACAGAATTAATTTGAAGTTCTAGTCTAAATTGACATGTCTAATTTGAAACGGTCAAGTAAGAGGAATGTCCATGTGTTTTCAGATCCAGCAGAAGATATTATCATCTATTTCTTTTTTTTTTAAACCTGTATTAACATGGCTGCAGCCACCTATACAGGCTATTAGAGGAAAAACAGAAGAGGAAGCGGAGGAATTATCACCTGACGGAAGAACTAACTGCTGAATGGATGCGATAAGAATCTGCAGAAAATGAAAAACCTCTCCCAAATAAGCAACTGAACAATGTAATGAAAATATGACATCTGGAAGTGTCAGGACCTGTCCATAGCAGAGACCACTTTCACTATCACATTAAAGACACAGAATCATGTATTGGATCCCCCCAGCTCCCGTGCCAGGGGCTGGTACAGGCAGAGCTCTGCAAAAGAGGAGCCCAGGTCTTTTTTGAAGGGTCTGAAGGCAGCCTGAGAGAACCTGAACCTTCGGTCATGAACGTTACTATAAAAGAAGCTCAGAGTGACCCTGCTGACAAGAAAAGGATCAAATATTTTCGTCCCTTGAAAAAGAAGTTTGGAAACCTTATGAAATATTATCTGTCACTGCCTATAGCCTGTTCTTACTAGTGGTATTTCTGACACAGACTGATCTTTGTGATCTCTCACTCCAGAAATACACACAGCCTGTATTACCCTGTTAATTTCTCTCTGACTCAGGGCAGGATGCAGGTGGAATCCGTAACGACTTCACTGCAGCCATTCTGTCTTGGACTCTAATCTCAGTAGATCTCAGAGATAAGCAAAATCAAGGCAAAAACCTAACCAAAAAGTCTCCAAGGAAAATCCAAACGCTAAAGGGAGAGGCAGAATGACTCAGGACTCCTTCTCAAGGGCTTTGTTTCTGAACCTTTCCCCTTAATGAGGTTGCAGAGGGCACTGAAAAGTAGAATGTAGTTTCAGATCAAGCAAGTTTCAGATCCAGCCATTTATAATCATTAGCAAGATTTTATTGCAGGACAAACCTATGAGTTACTGTCATGGGTAACAATATTGAATTTGGCATTGAACAAACTCAGAACTGAAGACAATCTATGGGTCAAAGAAGGTCACAGATGATATTCTAAAGAAAAAAATGAGCATTAGGAAAAATCCATCTCTTCCTTCACCAGTCCCTTGTCTTGCATCCAAATAGGTCCATTTTTGTCCCAATTGGAGCCTCTTTAATGGCACCAGTTTTTCAGCTGCGAGGCCACTTTGCCTCTGCTTGCAAAGAAATGTTTTTTTGGCCTACGAACAGCAAACCTTGCTTTAGGATCTCGGGCTGGAGAGCGCTTCGTAAAAATATTAACATAATTTGGTGCTGTCATTTCTAAAGCATCCCTTTAATGAGGGGAGCTGTTTACCGGTGAGTAAGGCAGGCGTTGCTATCTCAGCCATCATTTATATTTCACACCGCTGTCAAACCCTGACAAGCAGCAGATTGTAACAGGATGGCTTCTGCTTTTTGATGCCGTGCTCGGTACCCTCCGCTCGCCGTGCGCGCGGGCTCTCTGTTTGTACCTTGTCAAAACGAGGGGAGAGCAGCTCCGGGGAGGGGGGTAGGTGTTTCTACTCAGCCTGACACACTCAATTTACATCAGTTGCGCTTGCAATGGCGGGGGGGGGGGGGGGGGGGGAGGGGGGGTAAACATTTTTTTCTAACAGAGGTCATCTCAGTGCCTTGTTGATATTCTTTTGCAGTTCTTAATGCCCACCCCTCCTCACCAATCCCCCAGCCAGCAGTAACTCATGTCAGACAGACAGGGAGGATATTGCCACCTGCGTGCCCTCTTCTCCGTGACCACTCCAGCCAGGGAAAACAGTTCCCCCTGCCCCTAACGGAGTCGGTACTTCATGAGCCCTAAGGCAGGTGCTTTAGAAGAAGAGGGAATGGCCTCAAGCTGCAACAGGGTAGGTTTAGACTGGACATTAGGGAACAATTCTTCACAGAAAGAGTGGTCAGACCCTGGAATGGGCTGCCCAGGGAGGTGGTTGAGCCACCATCCCTGAATTTAAGAGTCGTTTAGATGTGGGGTTGGGGGATATGGTGTAGGGGAGAACTTTGTAGAGTGGGGTTGATGGTTGGACTCAATGATCCCAAGGGTCTCTTCCAACCTGAACGATTCTATGCTTTTACAGAAACTAAAATTGCAGCAGCCAGATTGTCCCTGTTTAAGCAACCTGGAGGATTTAGGCAACTGCTTAAGCACTTGGAAGCCTGCAAAGGGCTGCAGCCCAACTTCTCAGGGGTGACAGGCGCTGCAGCCCTGCTGACGGCAGCAGAGAGACACTGACCAAAACTAGATGGCATTTGGGCTCCCTAGTCCTCCTTCACAAATTTTCCTACAAGCTCTTGGGCTCATTTAAATAGTTTTTCATGAAGGCCAGTGCAAAAATCCTCACCTCTGGGCTACCTCCTGCAGAGTCTGGTATTACAAGGTATTATTAGGACAAAAGGAAATTATCACTACTAGTACTATTAGGACAAGAGGAAATGGCCTCGAGTTGCACCAGGGGAGGTTTAGGTTAGGTATTAGGGAAAACTTTTTGCACTGAAAGGATTATCGAGCATTGGAACGGGCTGCCCATGAAAAGTGGTGGAATCGTCATCCCTGGAGGTGTTTAAAAGATGGGCAGACGTAGTGCTTGGCAATATGGTTTAGCACCGCTTTTTGCCAGTGTTAGGTTGACGGTTGGACTCGATGATCTGAAAGGTCCCTCCCAGCCTACGCAATTCTGCTTCTGTGATTCTCAACAAGCTCCTAGCAAACGAGCGAGCTGCCAAACTAGCAGCTTTTCAAAGCAACCGAGGAGAAGCTACGAGGCGGTTCGCTAGAATTGAAACGGCCCAGCTGCAGAAATAGCTGCAGTGACTGTCTCAGAGGTATTCATCATCTCTCCCTCCCTCCTGACCCACCCTCCTCGTGCTCACCAGGGCGGCTATGCTGGGCAAGCAGATTTTCTGCTCTCCTCCTGACACCGACTTTGGTGAAGCTCCAGCCCCGGCGCCCGCAGCCCTGCCTCTCCTTAGGGCTCAGCATCACCCCAGCGATGCGCAGGCAGCTGAGGTAATGGAGGAGCACAGATTTTACAGTATTGTCCGCAGTTCAGCAGTTAGCTGGTACATAAAGGCCCTGCTTTCACCCGGAGCCTGTGCTGCCAGAAGGGCTGTGTTATGCCCTTTCATTTAAGACAAAGGCTCTCACACTGCAGCCTCCAGTGTGGAGAAAATCTTTTGTGCGGGCAGAGCCAGTGGGAGAAGGAGCCTTCTGGTCCCTGCGCTCCTTCTGCGGAGAGATTATAAAGAAAACCTCTTCCTTCTGCACATGGGCCAGATGAAGAACTGAGGCAATAATGCCTTTTTATCACAGTAATTACAGTGCCTATTGTTTTAATGACAGTGTTGTTGGGAAATAGGAATAGACCGCAGTCCCAAGGAGTCGTTCCAGTGTACACAAATAAACGATTTATTATATTGTTGTCAGATTAGACAGACCACTCAGCCTTACTTATATACTACCGCTTTCCCCCCACAATTCTTTGTGCATGCGCGTATTCATTTTATTTAACCAGATTATGCAAACTACCCGGCCCGGGAGGAGACAAAAGGCCGCTTTCTCTGGAGAACTTCCTCCGGGACTGGCAACGACAGGCTGAGATAGGCAAGGGAGACCTCACCCGACCGCAGAGCTGCCTGCTCAGTGTGTTTATATACAGGAGAATAATACTGTGCTCACAGAAAACGTGCTGGGAATCACTGTTTTCTGTTGTTTCTTAAAACAGACATCTCCAGCACACACAAACCCACCTCTGTCTAGGCGCTTGTGGTGTGATACCAGACAGAAACCTATACAGAAGCCTCCACAAACTGAGAAGCCCTGAATTTAAACAAAGTGGGTTTATAAAAAAAAATAAATAAAGGAAAATGGTGAAGTAGCAAAATCTAGCTTTAGAGGAACTAAAATCAGTGCTGGAATATGCGTTAATATCAGTGACTAGGGCTACTGATAGCTGGGAAGACAGGGTGAGTCATGTAAAAATGTACCTGAGAAAGGAATCTCCAAGAAAGGGTCGTGATCTGGTGATGGTCTCAGTCACAGGGTGGGAATCCCAGATCCTCCAGGTGCAACCTACGGGAAGGGGAGCATGAGGTCAAGACACGTGCTACCTCTCGCACACAGAAAACTCAACAAGCAACCACATACTCTGAGTCAACTGGGTTTTTTCTTTCCTCAGTAGGGACAGACAGGCATCTGCAGAAGCCTCTGCTTCCCTGGGATAGCAGGAACCACCTCTGGCAGTGTTTCCTGCTCTCCACTGACTTCAGAGAGAGCCAGTCAGACAGGTTCTGGCTGGATGTCGGCTTCCAGATAGCCAAAGCCAGTCGCAAGAAGCCCCATGAGGGAGGAGTGGTTTATATGTGAAGACTTAATTTTCCCAAACTTGTCTGCAGGCCAAGACAATGCAGATTGCAGCATTCTAAGAAAATTTGCGGAGCAGCTTTCTGAGCCACTGACCTCAATTTATGGCAGCTCTTGGAAAATCAGAGGAGTCACAAAGCCTGGGAGATGCTATTGTACCAGCGCAGAGAGAGACCACTGATAAAAACTTGCGCAACTATCCGTTGGTTCATCTGGAATTGACTGCACGCAAAATCTGATATGGGAGAAAAATCAGAAAATAATTAACAGATAGCAGCATAATTAATGCAATCAAGATGAGTTTATGGAAAATTAGTCTGGTCATAAAGAAACTGGATACTATCTTCTTCAGGACAAGTATGTCTGAGAAAGTTAACTTTGTTGACATCAGATACCATCTCCAGAGAGTCCAGTTTTCAGTGACCAGTTTGACATACGTACTGCAAAAAGGATTTGATAAAATTACTGGGAAAAAATGGCAAGGTTTGGCAGAGGAAGCTCAAGAAGGCCTGATCACAATGAGAGGTGACTTCAACTTATTCTATCAAGGAGAAGATTTCTATAATGAGGTGGACACAGGGTACCTCGGTCCGATGATGAAGCTAAACTGAAGCTAAAGATAGGGTTAGAGACAGGGGATGTGCTGTGGCAGGTAATTATGTACAAGAACAGTTTGTCCACATATGTGATAATATACCTATCTTGTAGAAAGGTATTCCAAAAAGTTTCAAAAACTGTGAGGTCATTTGGCATCCCTCTGCACCTACTTGCTTTAGCTAGACCTCAAATGTGCTCATCACCTTCTACTCCTTGGAGAGTCGCAGCCATGGGTTACAGCTCCCCAGTGCAGATGGGATGAAGAGAGAGCTGGTTCTCCATAGACCTCTGAGCCTGGGTAGCATCGGACAGAGCCCACCTTCTGATCAAATCCAGCGGTGCTCTTGAATGACACAACCCTGATTTAAAGACAAACAAACAAATAAAAAAAGCCCCACCAGTATTGCACTTGTGCTGCTCTCACCACAGATCCTCCACTCCTTAATTGCTTTTGACCTTGCCCACAAATGTTAAGGGCACCTTAGGATTTGGCTGATTAACCACTATAGCAGCAAGCCCTCGGGTAGTAACGGAGAGTAATTGATACCACTCCAAGCTCGCAATAATTTGTGTCACTGTGATCAAATGTTTGCCAATTTCAGGGGAATTTAGCTCACAGATTGTTGGGGGGAGGGAGGTATTGCTTTTGCTATGGTTTGGGGTTTTTTTTAATTGATGCCCTAAAAATAATAATCATAAAGTGATCTGAGTCTACTTATGGCATTTTTAGACTGAGCAAAGGGAACGGCATTTCTTTTGCTATTTTCGGAGGCTAGTGATGTTGGTAGCACACAGAAAAGCCAGGCGTCTTTTCCTGTGTAATATTCACAGATTTTAAAAGCACAAATCCTTCAGCCTTACAAAATCCATTTTTGTTCATTCCAGACCAAGCATTTCAGGAACCCTACCTGACCCCATCCACTAGCAATTTTAAAAAGGTGAGGGTTGAAAAGTCTTTAAAGTTGTAAGAATTTTCAGCATTTAAACACTCTTCCTTATTTTTAACTTGAAGTAGCTTAGCATGAACACACAGCCACCAGATATTGTTCCTCAGGAAGCTTTCTTGGCATTAAGAAATAAAATATCCAAACCCCCACTTTTTGCAAAGTTAAAAAAAAAAACAAAAACACCAAGACAGCAAAGCATCATCCATAACTTTGAAGAAGACGTTGCATTGTACCTTGATAAATCTTAAGGGGCTCATGGTCGAGGGACCAGCCAACCCAGCTATCAGCACGGAGACGTGACATTAGGAGGAACTCAGTGATATTGCTTGTGCTTTTGGTGTACAGCTTGCAGGGAGCTGGGAGAGAACAAGGCGCCAACCTCAATTTGCAAGCAGCTGGTTTCAGGGTGGACATACTGCATTGATGCTGGGCTTTCCCTCAGGCAAACCATACACGCAGTCAATGAAGGTTATCATGCATTTTTTAACGAAACAAGAAGGGCTGTCAAGCAAGGACCGTGGTGTTTCATCTCTGGAGCATCTCTACCAGCTCTCAGCAATACAGACCTTTGCTTGCTGTCCCTGAGAGGAAAACACATTTGGGTAAAGGAAGAAGGCTCAGTCCAACTGGGCAAAGCGTTGCGGCTCCTGCTGCAGCCAAGGAACCCCTATTGCTGCCTAAGGAGGGCTGGCCAGGGTGGTAGTGAACGAGCCCAGTGCACACACACACCCCCACCCCTATAAGCTCCACACCAGGCTGCATCCTGCCAGCAACACGCTAATAAGAGCTGTCCTTACCTGGCACCTCTCCTTGCCAGAGAGAGGAAAAACAGCATGTCTTTCCCTATATATGCAGGGAGAATTAAATGAAATGATAAAACAGAAAATTAGATATTTTTTTTTACCAAGTTAGAATTCTACGTTTGTTTTTTTTTAAATAAAAAACCCACAACCCTCCTTCTGTTGCACCCTTTTGGATCATTTAGGAAACTAGCGTGACAAAACAAAAACTATCCTTCAGAGCACCAACCCTCAGCAAGGCAGGAGAGAGTTGTTCTTGATGCATCTGATTTTAATTTAACACTACACTTCACCTTCACAGCAAATAATTTCACATACATGTTCTAATTAGTGATGGGGAAACCTCAGCAGGTTTTGAGTCTGGCTTCAGTTTAAAAACCGAAAAATCTGGATGTTTTATCTAAACCTCATGAGGATGAAAACATAGGAAATTGGAAATCTCTTCATAAGAACAAGGTTTCTTGTCAGACTGTTTGCTTGTTTCAGTTTCAGTCTGAGATGGAAACCAGAAATGACAGAACTTCCCTGGACATTTCTGAGCCATTATAGAGACAGGTCTAAAAGAGATAGCTTTGAATTGAATGCAGATTTTAACTACTCTTCATTTTCCTTGATTCCTAGCCTAGACAAAGCTCTTCTTGACCTTATATATTTAAAATACTACTGTAAAAATAATTGTCTTGACTGCACTTTTACCACTGGGGCCACAAAGTTTTCCACGAGAATGTTGCTCTAAGCACAAAATGTTCTTATGGAAGAAAAATAAAATCTGTGTGGAAGAAAATTAGTTTTGTGAACCATTTCCATTTTCTGTTGGGAGAAAAAAAAATATCTGACTATTATGGAAACTTCAATGTTATTCTCCAGGGAGAGGGGAAATGAATGGCCAACAGGTTTCTAGAGAATGGAGGGATTTGCAGCCAAGTTCGGGAGAAAGTGCAGAAGTTTTGCACCTGCCTTTGTCTCCCCAACAGCACAGATCTCTCTGTAAATCCTGGTTTCAGGGGTAGAGGTCTGGCTCTTGGGAAGAAAGGCTGGGGAAGAAAGAGAGTGGGACCAATGCCCACTTCCATACCATTTTGCTGGCAGGGCTGGCTGGGAAGGCAGGCAGGCAGGATGTAAAATTGGCAGGATGTAACACTGGCAGGATGTAAAACTGTCACAGCTTGGTAATTGGCAAGACAAACAGCTTAGCTTTATTTCTGAAAAGACCTTCCTATTAAAAATAAAATACATATATCACTCTTTTTATTTTTTTTCCCCTCCAATTCAGTACATTTGGATGAGAAAATGCCATTGCCACTCTCCAGCCGCCTCTGCCCATCCCATTATCCCACAGTTCTCCTAACCAGTGACTCCCTTTCCTCCCACACCATCACAGGCATCCTCCTCACCTTTCTCTCTGATGAACCGTAGCATGCCACGGAGCCATTGACACCCCTCCAGCCCCCCCCGACACCTCCAGCTTTCATCATCCTCCAGCCCCATTTATTGTCTTCCCAGAAATAGGCATTATGGGTTATCACCAGCTTCCTCCCCTCCATAAGGCTCCTCAGCTTTTCCAACACAACACAGCCAGCCCAACATGGCTGGAGCTAACCAGGGAGGTTGGACCAGTCCTCCCATCCCTTCCTGCTCCTCATTTATGCTGGTGGTGTCCAAACACTCTTCCTGTTGTCTCCTGCCCTGACTCAGACCACTCAAGGAGGAAGCAGCCTCTTTTTTACTACCCTTTACACCTATTATGGTGAAGTCCTGATTCTGGCTGGAGCTAGCAGGTGCTGCTATGTTCATATAATAAATAATAATCACTCCTAACTACTGCCATTTAAAAATAATCCTGTTTTGGCTCCTGAAACACCTAGTTGCTTTTACATTCGAATGTTCTCAGTGTAGGTTTTGCAGCAGTACTTGTTGTTCTAATGGGTTAAAAACATTTCTCCTGAGCAGGGGGATGCCTACCAATGCAGCTACACCACTAAACAAATAAAACTCCTTGCTCCAATCCGTAATCTGAAGAGTTATTTCTGCACCCACTTGCAGAGGAAAGTTATTTTAAAGAAGTATCACCAATTGCAAACACCGGAGCCTTTTCCATTATTACAATTTCCACACATGGATGAGTTTGGGTGATTGCTCTTGGCCATGACACTGGAGCAAAACAGGCAGCAAGTGAATTTATGTACCATTTTCCCTTTATTACATTTATACATTGCAAGTGTGTTCAACCACACACATACTATTGCAGACTCTGCTCTCTGGCTCCCCTTCACAGTTTACCCATTCTGCCAACCAAGGAGGAGGTAGCAAGTAAGCTTCTTAGAAATAAAAAAGAGGTACAACACACCATCAGTTCAAACAGGCAAGTGAGAGACAGCTCCATCCCAGCCTCTGGACCTTCAGCCTCACTGCTTCATATCACCAGGACATTTTTCTACTCTTACTAGTTCAAACTCTACTGTACTTTGATGACCAGATAGACAAAAGTGCTTGACTAGTTGTTTAGCCACCATAAAAGAGAAAGTTTCCCCGTCTCAGGTGTGCACCACAGTACTCTGGGCGAAGAGGTACATCCCCTGCACACCAGGGACTGGCCCTTGTGGCACCCACCCCAGCCAGCCTGGGTAGGACGGGCACTTCTCTGAAAGCAGCTCAGAAAACATTCAACTATGTAATTGTGCTTCTTGTCTTGGAAAGAACAGAGAGCAGAGAGCTTGGATTTCACCACAAGCCTTGTGTTATTAAATTCTTTATCCACGCTACTCCACTTGCTATCTGAGGCTTGTTTTCTCTCAGACCAAAAGCAGTTAAGAGATGACAGCATCTTTCCACTCAAAATGGTGCTATTTCATCAAGCTGCTCATCCAAAATGGAGCCAAGAGGTGCAGAAATTGTGTTTTCAGACATGGCAGGACTCACATTTCCACTAGCTCCCATGCCATTTAGAAAACCCAGCCACCCTCCTGTTAAAAGGAAACATCTGTATTATTTTTGTAAAATTCTGGCAAGAAAAGGTGCTGGAGGGCGATCCCCAAGGTCCTCTCTTCCAGTGACTCCCTGAAGAAATCTCCCCCTCTGCTGACAATCCCAGGGAGCTTTGGACAACCACAACTGTCCTTCAGATGCTTATACTTCAGTGCCGCGGTGGATTGACCACGGAAAAGAGGAAAACACTGGCTCATGGCTGGGGAAGCTGGTCAGGATGGCCATGTCCCAAATCCTACTTCCAGTTCCAAATGTAAGAGAGATGACCTGGCCACTGGGTTTTGATTTACCTTAAGTGAGTGTGTGTTGACCTCGTTCTTTGAAAACCTTCACGTCTTTCACATGCTGGAGTGGTCTCCTCATCCTGCCCAGTTTCTAATCCAGGTCACTGCAGGAAAAAAAATCCTTTAATACATTTCATAGAATGATAGAATCATAGAATGGTTAGAGTTGGAAGGGATCTTAAAGATCATCCAGTTCCCACCCCCATGCCACGGGCAGGATCACCTCCCACCAGACCAGGTTGCTCAAAGCCCCATCCAGCCTGGCCTTGGACACCTCCAGGGATGGGGCATCCCCAACTTTCCTGGGCAACCTGTTCCAGTGTCTCACCACCCTCACAGCAAAGAATTGCTTCCTAAAGAAATTTGCCAAGTATCACCTCAAAACTCAGAGAACAGAAGGCAAAATTAATCCCCTGTTAATTTACCTTTTCACAACTTCCAACCAGAGGATTTTCTGCCACCCACCTCAGTTTTGGGGCACTGGCATTCCCCAGAAGCTGCTCTGTGACACCCACCTGCGCGGCCGGGGAGATGGTGCCTCCGGGCTCTCCTTCAGTATTTAGCAGATGCATCCATAGACATTCATGGGTAGAGCTGGGCTAAGCTAAATAAAGAATATCTAGGGAAGGAAAAAAAAAATAGACAGGTCTAATGTAAGTGGAAGTGCTATGCTTCCCTTCTCCTTTGCAGGAGGGACCATCTGAAGGGGTGACAGGGGGCAGGGAGCCCTGGCTTCTTTCTGCAACCGCCGTGGCAGGCAGCGGTTGTTCACATCTGTCTGAGGAGCCCCACAGGGACCAGGCACCGATCCCGCAGAAAACTATGCTGTCACTTTATTAAACTGCTTCACGCCAACAGCAACAAGTTATACTAATGAGAGCAGATGTATCCAGTAAACAGTGGCATGTTTTTAGTTTAATCTACTTAAACCTGGATATATACTAATTCCTAAGTAAATACCTTAGTGGCTGGCAAAATGAGAAACAGACGATAAAAGAAGAAGCCTGCTTGCGACCCTTGAGACATGGGTATAATGTTTGGCTTGGCATCATTAATCTTATGGTCAGAAGAGTACAGCTTCAGCATGTTTAATGTGAGAGAGAGCTGCTCACAACAAAGTTTCCTCTCTACAGTGCCCTCTGCAAACAGTAATTTCCACATTTTTTTCTTGCTTCCCTCTAATTAGCTTCCCTTTGGCCTGACACACTCTGAAAGCGTTGCCAGCTGAAGAGACCTATCCATCTCCTCTCTTGAATAAAAACATGAGCTAATTGAGTGGAAGGTATTTAAGAACAGTGAACTGTATAAGGTATCACACGCCACAAGATAACTGATTCTTCAAGAACAGCACCTTAAATAAATCCTTTTGAAACACTCTTCAGGCTGATGGTTAAATAATTAATTGCTTCCCAGTGCATCAATAAAAATCAGTCCTATGACATGAGGTTAAATGAATGGGAATTTTGTCACCAAATTCAGTGGGGCCAGCATGTCAATGTACACAACACAGGGAGAGAGACAAGGCTCTGTCTCACTCTGACAAAGTTTTGATGTCAACATTTAACTGAAAAAAAACAAATCGTGTGAAAAACATTGGTGATGGATTTCCTCTTTCCTCTGTAGCCAATGGGAAGCAGCTTTTGATACTTACTGAACTGATCAGAACACTCATTTCACATAATGCATGCTCTGAATTTAGTTAGTGAATCATTGGCAAATTGATCCTGATTCCTGGAAATGTCATTCTTAAGCAGGCTATGATTAGTGATTAGTATCACACAGTATTTTCTCATCATCTGGCTGTTTGTAAGCTGTAACCTTTAGGTATTCATATACAGATTTTGTAATTGCAGACTTGAGTCACTAGGCTTATCCTCCCCTGATTGGAAGATAGGCTTTTAAAAACAGAGCCTTATCAAACATAAATGATAACTTCCATCCCACATATGTGACACTTGTGGGAAATTAAGAACACACAAATATCTCAACAAATAACCAAAACCATTTGCACAGGGAAGAGTAACCAATGTACTCCCTCGACTTTATCAAGCTGAAAGAAGTGATTTCAATTTAAAAAAAAATCATTATGGTAGTTGAATGTTTTTTTTGTTATTCACCCCCTACAGAAACATTCCCATGCAATCATACTCACTCCAGGGATTTCTACTGAGGGTCTGGTAGGACCCAAAATCTCACTAGGGCTTTGCCACAGAGTACACGCTGTCTTCTGTTATCCCTGCAGAATGACTCACTTAACAGTCCGTTACACCATGTAAAAACTAAAAGGAACTTGACAATATCACAGACAGTTAATATTGTATCAGGAAGGGAAAAAAAAAAAATAAAGGAGTTGAAGTCTGACTATAGTTCATTTCATTACGACGTTTCCTACCTCCTGGGCAGATATATGAGGTGACTAAGAACCAAGCAAACCAGGTTGTCTATTTATTGGTAGATGTGCATAATAGCTGCAATACAATGCGTCAAGACTGGCCATTTATTGGTTCACCAAAAGTTTGTGACAAGCCAGGGCTTATTCTGTGACTGGTCCATTCCCTTGCAGATAGCGCTGTTGTAACTTGCCATGGAGTGGCACTTCTTTTTAGTAATGCTAAAAGGTGAATTTATGTGAAGCTGCATACTTAAACAAAACATATTTTTTTTTCCTTCCCCATGAGGGAGAACTCTGTGAGATTCTTTTCCAGATTTCAAATGGAAAGTTGGATACCTTAATTCACTCCTTGTGACTGTCATCATCTCTATTCCCACCAGGTTTGGGCTCAGGAAGGAATTAGACGTAACAAACACAAATCCTCAGAGAAAAAGGAGGTTAAATATTTAAAACAGTCTTTGAAAGTTATGCACACAGAAGTGATTAACAAATAGCAGGAATTGTGCTTGTTCTCTTTGCAGACCACTAAAAATTCCCCACTCACCAGGCTGGCACATTAACAAATAATACGATTTGTACCACTTTCTGAGCCTGTTCTACAGAACTGAAAAAAAGAACAACAGGGAGGCAGGGAAAACAACTGCAGGCAAAACCAATCATCTTCCCCTCAGTACTCTCCATAAAAAGACTTCCTCCCCTCTAATATTATGGTAAATTACCTTGTTAATCCTTACGAAGCCAATGAGTGGGGTTTTTTTCCCCCCTCTTCTTCAAAATTGATTTATTTTTTTTTTTTAAATATATGTTATTAGGAGTAGAAGAGCCACAAAAGCCACTTCAGATCCAGCCTTGTTCCTGCTCACCCCTGCTTGCTGGCCAGCTGTGCTGTTCCGTAGCCAAACCCCATCAACCTGCACCATGAAAGTCGCCGTCTTTAAGCAGGCTCCCCCGGACATAACACGACGAAATTACCACTGCCTCAGCACAGGTGCATTTACTTTGTCTGCCCTATAAATCTGGCCTGTAGGATGACTTATATAAATAAAGCGAGTGATTTCGTACTTGTAAGGACTTGATAGGGGTCAGCGGTTTGCTGAACACTAGCAGAATTTCTCGGCACAGAATGGATAAACCAGGAGGGCTTAATTCAAAGTGTTAGATTATCCAGGCGTGATGGCTTAATATGAGTGGGAGGAAGGCATAATATGGGGAATCATTACTCAGACACGTGCATTTATGAAATCATTACTGGGCTGAAGCAGTTCATTTGTCTGCCTTTTTAACTACAGACCTTTGGTTTGAGGGAGACCGACAGCGCATCCACTAGTAGGAGCTCCGGGCTGAGTCCTGATCACTTATAATTGAGGATTTTCCATTAACCGCTCCCTGCCCTTAGCTCACTCCTGCAAAGGTGCAGGGCTCGTTTCTGTCTGTCTCCAGGTGGATGAGAGATGCCAGGGGCATCTTGTCTTTGTTAGGTTAATTCAGAGAGGTGCTGGGCACGCAGCGAGCTCCCGCTCCTGATTGAACGAGAGACTCTGTGAACCCTTTAATTTTCACAGCTTTGTGCTGTGCTAACTTTTATTTGACCAGATTTTGCTGGGATTATTTGAGGCCTTGTCAAGACTTCTTTTGTGACCAAAAGACAAGGTCTTCTATCTCTCCATGACACTGATTCTGTGTAAGAGCACAGAATCACGGAACCACAGAATCTTCATGGTTGGAAAGGACCTTTGAGATCATCAAGTCCAACCACAAAAACAAACAAACAAAAAAACCACCACAAACAGACACAAACCAACAATCTCGGGCACAGAGGCAAGTATTAAAAGGCCTTGTTTTCTTTCCAGTTCAATAAACCTGTGAGTCTCATTTTCGGCTGCCTTCCTTCAGCTGTTTCACTATAAAAAGGGAAGTTTTTGCAGGCAGCCATTTGCATCTGACCTTGGGAGGGAGAAAGAGGACCACATTGTCTGTGTGGACACCATCTTGGCCCCTAGCTTCACATCTCTTCTCTTCAGGGACACCTCTCCTCTGAAGCACCACACAGCTTGGAGCAGCACCAAGTAGCTGTGAGGAGAAAGCGGTCCTCCTACCCATTCCCACCCGCTCCACCCACCCTTGCCTTCAATCCGAGGACATGAAGTGGAAAAGCCAAGCCCAGCCTGAAGGAAAACAATCCTTGGCAATATAAACCATTTTTGGAACAACTTTGTACGATATTGCCAACAGAAACATGAACCTTTGCTTATGAGCCTTCTCCTGTTTTCATCCACCATTAGGGCCTCCGTTACAGCCTCAGGTTTGAACAGTCTCTCATGGAGAATTTAGGGGCAGGGTGTTCTCCCCAGATTACCTTATTGCCACCTAATCTCTTGCCTGTCAACTCTTTCAGCTGAGGTAAGTTTAGAACGGAATTTGCTGCTGGCTGAGATGAAGGACAGCAGGAAAGGCTCTGCCCAAGTCAGCAGAAAGGCTGTGTTTGAGCAAGATCGGGGTCAAGCACTCCATAATTCTGAATGTCATATGAAGCACCTGCTCATCACCAGAGTTAACATTTTCTGCTTCCCCCTGACCTCTGACAGGTTTTCTTTTATCTTTACCTTTTCGATAATACCATTTGCCAAAAACTGTTAGACCCAAGATGATGTGCTACAGATTGTGAATCAGCCATCGCACCAGGAGCTTTGAGCAGCCTTGATGTTCATTCGAATGCTGTAATGAATTTGCCTCAAACTTGGTGGTTTTGTTTGCCATGTTTTACCAATATCTGGGAAAAAAAAAATTTAAAAAAGGCAAATCTATTTCAAACAGATTTCAACCAAATATTTCAGGACAGCTTTGCAAAGTTTCTAAATTCATATTCATAAATGGGATTACTCCAAGCAGAAATTCAAACTTCAGGAGTTACATTTATCTAACCAGGGAACAGATCCCACCAGCAAACAGACACACCTCATAAAAATAGCTCAAGTTGCAAACTTTGAATAAGAAATGCTCCCAGCAAATTGCTCTCCAAAAAACCACCAATGAAGAATGATTTCCAGAAGTGATTCAGCAAACAGCTCAAGAAAATTACAATCTCTTCATGGACAATTCACAAATGCAGTTTGTTGAATGATATTCATTACAAACGATTCTTCCACCTATATTTATCCCTACGAAAACAGCCAGGGCTCCCGGGTGGACCCTCTAACATTTACAACACCTGTAATGCACAGCATCTGGAGGTTAGGCAATTTTATGCAGAACTTCTGCACAAAGTAATAAGAAATTATGCTAAAAGTCTCAAGCAAAAAATAGCAAAAAATGCTAAAACACTTTCCTTTTTCCCCCTGTTTTTCCTTTTCACATCACGTAGCACCTAATGCACAAAAGGCAGTAAACTTAGATAACATAACACCAACCCGAAGGACTGCATTTTTCAAGCAGTGCTTTTTTTGGAGGGTAGGGAGGTTTAGCTGCTCTATGACAATACTGACATAAGCTGGACCATGGGGTCGTTCCTGAGTGTTCTTGCCCACATGATATGCACATTCAACAGTTTCTACCAGAGGAGCCTTCTAATTTTATACAGTGTGTCTTGAACACCAGGGTAGGCAAAAATTGCTTTCCACAGAAAGCACCCTCAATTCCCAGGGGCTGAATTCACTTCCCAAACTGGGCCATGAGATCAGAGGGATTTCTTCAGAGCCTCCCCCTCCTGTGTCCTGCACTGGCCTCACAAAATGCTGTCGGGCCATCAGAGAAAGGAGAAGGGGGGAAATACAAGAGCTGCCATTCCCTGATCCATACTTCTGTCAGGTCAAAGTAGCCCCATTTACAAAATAAAATAAAGGATTAGTTGAAAGCACTGTTGTTATTATTACTGTCATTATTATGATTTAGTGACTGTCCTAAGATAACTTGATTTCTTTATTGTTTCCCTCTTGTGGGAATGCTAGCACCGAAGGATGCTATTCGGGAAACATACTTGTATCGAAAGGAGACAAACTTTGTCATTCTCCTGCCTTGTCTGGTTATTCCCTCACTGATAAATCCCCTTGGGAAGCAAACAGCAGTTTCAGGTGTTACTGCAGCAAGGCCAGCCGAGGCTTCAGTGCTCAGCTGTGTTTGCTCACTGAGTCACGGCTTGGTCAGGTTTGGGTGTGATGGGGCTGTGGAGACCTCTCCCTGCTCCTGCCCGGACCTGCCTCCTTGGAACATGCGCTACGTGAGCTCCCGAGCTGTAAACAGGTGATTTGGCGATGGCAGTGCTGCTCGGTGTTTGCTGCTATCCTTTTTTTTTCAGTTTCCTGGGGCACGGAAGCCCATGCGTGCATGCCTTCATCAATCCTCCCCTCCCAGTTCACAACCTTCAAGGTGGCCTGAGCACCCCTGTATTCACCAGAGAGAGAGGGTGGCAACTTCGTGGAGTGATTCATCTCATCAGGAGGAAGACATCCAGACAAGGAGAGTCTGCATTGAAGGGAGAACTGGAACAGTCCTTGATACCACAAAGAGAACCTTGGCTGGCAAAGCAAATGCTCAATCAGGTTTAACACGAGCGGGCGGGAGTAGTTCCACGCTGTCAAAACAGAGATACCATTCCAGCTCAGATGTCCCTGACACAGAGGCTCTTTAGCACAAAGCCTGCAGATAGCAGAAAGCCAGCTATATTTTTTTTCTTTATGTGGGTTTTTTTATAGTTTTTTTTATTTATTTATTATTTTACCTAAAATATTTTGAAGCATTTTATACAAATTTGTAAACAATCCCAGACTCACCTTGCAGGCTTTGGGACAACAGGCTGAGACAAAGCACAGACAATTAAGAAAGCTTTCTTCTCTTTTATTTCTGCATGCTTGACACAGGAGTGAGGCTAAAAAAGAAGGGAGAGGCAACATCACCCAAAAAATTGTGTTTTGAAAGAGGCGGCAGAGGGCAGATGTATCAAGCTGTTTGGGTGCCTGTTCCAATACGTTGCGATGAGCTACTTTGAGGCAGTAAGGAGTTGAAAGCCACCAACAGCTGTCACGGCAGAAAACCACTGAAACCATCATGAGATCACACAGCTAGAGGGCAACTTTGGGGATGAGCAGAGCTTGGCATTCCACGAGAATCAGAGTGCTGTTGCTTGGAAAGGACTGTGGAGATCTCCAAAACAACCTCCTGCTTGAACCAAGGCTATTCCCAATATAAGATGACATCAGCCACAAGAGTGGCAGGAAAAGGGTAATCATGACAAAAAGAAAGGCTAGGGGGAGGGAAGCCCTAGGAAGTAAAGAGTCCAAAAGAGAGAGAATTTGGGATCAAGGAAAGGACATGTATTGCATTGACCTGAAAGCTGCCTTCCATAGAAGGGCCTCATGTCTGCTTCTGGACTCCACAGGTACTGAGGTATCACATCGCACTATACTCTGGACGGTCTCCTGTTTCCATGAGTTTCATCTACCATGGTGTATCAGTTTGCTTTCTCTTGTATTACTTTTTAGGTGTACTTTCCTTGGCCTCTATATCAGAATGGCTCCTAAAACAAGAAACTGGTCTGAACCCATGATATCTGAAGCAACAGCACATCAAGAGAGGATACTCAGAGTGATTTGGAAGCAAATGAACTCATGCTTCCTCACTGCTCCCTCTACAGTGATGAGCCTCCCTCTCCCATGAACATTTGAAACTTGGCAGCTCAGTTTTGCTTTGCTTATTATTGGGAGTGATTGCCCTGGCAGGAATCCTGAACCAGCACACCACATGCAGTGGGACATTCTCTGCATCTCGTTCAGAGCCTTAGGGAGCCAGGTTTCCACAAAAGAAATTGGGTTTGGAAATTCTTTACCCTCCAGTAGAGCGAATGCATGAATATTTCTGTTCCTGACCTGATTTTCCATCAGTTCCAGGGGGTATTTCAATTCTTTATTTCTCCTGATTAGTGGAGGAGAGACGCCTTTGCTTTGCTGTTTCTTTTCCAAGTTCACTGGCTAGCTGGTTCTTAATGTCCTGGGTGTTTCCCTGTCCTCTCCCAAGTAACCCTTCCAGGAAGATTCCCAGTTATGATTTTGATCCATTTTAAATAGCTAGTTACTCCCAGCTGGTCTCTCTACCACTCCCTTCTGTGGTCAGCCCACCAGAAGTGAGAGGGGGTGGAAATAATTTCATTCAGCTCCCAGATGCTATTCCAAAAAGGAGGAAGCTCACCAGTCACGGACAGTGATCATAAAATCATAGAATAGTGCAGGTTGGAAGGGACCTTTAAGATCATCTAGTCCAACCATCAACCTAAGTCTGATGAAAAAACCAAACCAAACCAAAAGAACAACCCATAACTAAACCATGTTACTGAGCACTATGTCAACCCATCTTTTAAATACCTCCAAGGATGGTGCCTGGTTGAGGCACCATCCCTGAGGCACTTCCCTGGGCAGCCCATTCCAATGCTTAATAACCCTTTCCGTGAAAAAATTTTTCCTAATATCCAATCTGAACCTCCCCTGGTACAACTTGAGGCCATTTCCCCTTGTCCCATTGCCTGTGACTTGGGAGAAGAGACAGACCCCCCCCTGGCTACACCCTCCTGTCAGGTAGTTGTAGAGAGTGATAAGGTCTCCCCTCAGCCTCCTTTTCTCCAGGTTGAACACCCCCAGCTGCCTCAGCCTCTCCTCATGAGACTTGTTCTCCAGATCCCTCACCAGCTCCGTTGCCCTTCTCTGGACCCGCTCCAGCACCTCAATGTCTTTTTTGTGGGAAGGACCCCAAAACTGGACACAGTACTCAATATGGGACCTCACCAGTGCCAAGTAGCGGGGGACCATCATCTCCTGAGTCCTACTCACCACACTGTTCCTGACATGGGCCAGGATGCTGTTGGCCTTCTTGGCCACCTGGGCACGCTCCTGGCTCATGTTCAACTGGCTGTCGACCAACACCCACAGGTGCTTTGTGCTCACACACTGGATCCACTCGATCATTATCTTTTCCTTGACCTCACACCTTTTCTCTCCTCAGGAGATGTCCCTAAATCACTAGGAAAACGGCAAGGATGCGGCTGAGATAAACCTCATGCTCTGCAGCTATCCCCATGTGTCTGTTGGCGAGATGTCTCTAATGCCATGCTCACAACAGTTCTGGAAGCAGGTTGAGTTGAGGCATCCTCCCCATCCTCTGGGACAGAGTTCCTGCCCATCCTCAACCTTCATGTCTCCCAGGACATGACAGCAGCTATGGTTTATCCCCAGCCGTGCTCCAGAGTTCACCTGCAGCTTTCACCTGTCTGAGAGTTCAGTTCAATCAGCTTGGATGCTGGGTGAGCATTGGCTCAGACCTACCTCTGGTCAGTGTGCAAAATCCACCCAGGATGATGGGAGGGGAGAATCACAGAATCTTCATGGTTGGAAAGGACCTTTGAGATCATCGAGGCCAACTAAAAAAAACTTGGAAAGGAGCTTTTAGAACCACGGAGCCAACAAAAAAAAAAAAAAAAAAAAAAAAGGAAAAAACCAAACACACATACACAAAAAAACCCCAAAACCAGATACAAACCAACGATCTTGGGCACTAGAGCACACCCTGAAGTGCCACGTCTACACGTTTCCTAAATACCTCCAGGGATGGTGACTCCACCACCTCCCTGGGCAGGCCGTTCCAGTGCCTGACCACCCCCTCAGGAAAGGAATTTTTCCTAAGATCTCATCTAAACCTCCCCTGCCCCAACTCCAGACCATTTCCTCTGCTCCTGTCATTATTCCCTTGGGAGAAGAGGTCAACCCCCACCTCTCTACACCCTCCTGTCAGGGAGTTGTAGAGGGCAGTGAAGCCTCCCCTCAGCCTTCTCTTCTCCAAACTAAACATGCCCAGTTCCCTCAGCCTCTCCTCCTATGACTTGTTCTCTAGACCCCTGCACTGCTTCTCCCCTAGGTTGGGAGAAATGTCACCCTGGTTGCGCAATGTCTTCAAAAGACAAAGCAGGGAATGTTTCCGGGAGTTTTGCTTCTTTTACAACTGGCAGCTGGCACTCCAGTTCCTGCCACGCAGCAAAGCTGTAGTCACTCTTCCCAGAACTTGCATGGAAATGCAAGCTGAGTAATACCTGTAGCAGGGAGGGTTTTTTCAGTCATTCGCCTGTCCCTAAGAAGCACGACTACACTTGGTCAGGCTGTGTCACAAGCATGTCATTCAGCAGTAATTCAGGAACTAAAGAGTAAACTATGCTTTGAGTCATATCACCACTGATTGTTAAAAACATCCACCTCAGTGCATTTAATTCCAAAAGAAATTCTTGATTTTTTTGGTCAGTCTTATCCTGACAATGCAACCGTATGTATCAATGACATGCATGATGTGTGGTATCAGGGTCTCCAGATTCTTCTCTTTCTTTCTGCTTCCCTTAATGTATAACTTGCTCCTAGCACTCAATCTGAAAATACCAGCTAGTGTGAGGGAGCATACTGTCAATCCAACAGAGAAATAAAAGCTCCTTCTATCAGAGCTGTATTTTTCATAAAACCTATGGTTACAAGAAACTACTCTTTACAATCCCATCCTAAAAACCAGATTATTCAGGTCATGAACAAATAAGAATGAAAAACTGCCTACTGCATTCTTGAAAAAGGAGTTATTTATCTCTACTGGTTTCCACCTTATGGTGAAATCCATACCTACACATTAAAATATTAAGTGATAGTTGGTGTTTTATCAATAAAACTGATTTAACATTTACCTATTACTCTTCCATTATGGGCATATCCAACGAGGTATAAAAATTCTGACCTTTTATTCATGCAATTACAGCTCTGCTGGGAACATGAAATCCCTGGGAAAGGACCTCTGGCAGTCATCTGGTCCATCATCCTGCTCTGACACAGGATCAGCTTGACCTGCACCATTCCTGGAGGTCATTCTTAAGGACCCCCAATGGCAGACTCCTCAGCCTCCCCAGGCAATCTCAATTTAATTGAGAACTTCCCCAACCAAAGCATCAGCTGTCTGTTTCTGCTACAGAGCTACAGAAGCTGAGGAAACCTCACACAGGTCCTCTGCCAGATGGACATTTTCCACTGTGGGTTATGTGGGTATTTCTTTAGCTGAAATGTCACCAAGAATCTGACAGTAAAGGGTCTGACTTAAAAACTGGCTATGAAGGAGAAAGCTGTTTGGATGAATGGAGAGCTATCCATCTCTTGTTCAGGAGGGTATTTAGATGTGACCCTTGAAATTCAGCTCAACTGTGTGCTCGGTGTTAGATCAGTGCTAAAGTACTTCACTGAATGGAACCCAAACATCCATGTCTGTCTTCCTTAACTAGCTGAAGCCACGTTACTTAAAGAATTTGGACAGCACAGGAAACCTTAAATTACCTGATAATCACTAACAGTACAGTCAATGCCTGTGCTTGCTTTCCTACATCTCTGTGAGGGTAAGGGAAAATAGAGCATTACCACAGGTGAGTCCTATGTCATCTCCACACCAGTCCAGAAAGATTGGGATCTAACATCAGGCATATGGTTACCTCTTCCATTTCAGAATCAGACCGCAAGTTAAACCTCACTTTTCTGCCATGGCTCATTATTTTACAAGGAGGTCCACCAACAAAAACAATATACAGTTTTAGGTAAAAACCAACCATGATAGGTTTCATCTACGACACCACGAAGCAGCCTCGGAAAACTTCCCAGAGCAGGACTGCTCTACTTTCATTCTGGCAAAGGTGAGGGATGCAAGATCATGGGAGATGCAGCCACTTTGCAATGGTAATAAAGTGTTACTAGATATCACACAATGATTTCAAGTTCTTGGCAAGCTGGGCATATAGTCTGGGTTAGGGTGAACTTGACTGTTCTTGTTCTATGAGTATCTGCAATATCTATGAGTAATGTATGGGAAACGTATGCAGTTCCAACGGTGTCATCCAGTTGAACTTTACCTGTTGCAGAAGAAAATAACTCTCTTACTGCTGACCTGGCCGAGCAGGAACCTGAAGGCAGTTAGGTCTTCCTAGGGCTGCCTTCATGTTTCCTAGCTCTGAAGCTCTGGTCCTCAGAAACTAGGCATTTGCAAAGGCAAATGCAATTAATTCCACATAAGTTTCTGATCATTTGCTGGTTTATGCAGTGTTCCAGCCAGCTAAATTTGTCTCAATAATTAATGCATTACACCAGCAACCAGCCTTCTTTATGAACCACCGTTGACAACTGTGACTAGCCTTTTCACATATCCTTCAGTACCCAAATATAAATATCTCTGTGTCTTCGGAGACCATGCTGTTGTGGTCCATGCCAAACTCTAATTAATGAATGGTGTTTTCAATGAATTACTTCTCTCTTTCAATATTGATTTAGTATGATGTCTTTAAACATTTAACTTCTTGCAGAGAACAGTTTGGTTGCTTGGGGTATATTTTTTAAATGGTGTTCAGATACTGCCTAGCACTATGATGTGGAAAAACCAAGGTCAACTCACCAGTTATGCCTGAGACAAAGCAGAAAATTTTTTTGTTCTATGGAATATGTGTCACACACCACTGTTCACATAAGTCCCAGAAGCTGCCAGCTAGCACAGGGCTGGTAAATAAGCCTGAATAGAACTGCTCTTACAAAGCTTAATTAGCTTGAACACCACTATCGTACATCCACTGTGATGGATCAGACACCAAGGGTCCCATCATCCCCACCAGCATCATAAGGTCCAAAGCTATGCCCTTGCTTTTCACCATTCTCCTGCCTTCTCAGCTAAATACCAGCCAAAATCAGTCCATCAGTGCAAAACAGTCTGGCCTGATGCAGCACAAATCATAGCGGAAAACTACGTTCACCAAAACACCTTCCAGGCATCAAGCTTGAGCAATGGTTTGGCTGGATTTCCTCCCACCCCTCAATAGCAAGCAAAGGAATTACACTAAAAATAGCTCAAGAGGAGAACTACTGAAAGTGGGGATCTGCTTTTCACCAAGATGCACTTACCAACTGAAGATTTCTTAGATAACACTGGAGCGGTTGCCAGTAGTGACTGCCCTAATTAAAAGCAAACCAATTTTCATTACCACCGCTTTGCTTCACACAACAGTAATGTCCTGAAGCAGTCACCTTTTTAGCCTACGTCCATTACTGTAAAAGGGGCTTCAACTCAGTTAATGTTGTCTAGTCAGGCAATGCAAACAAATATCCTCCCTATAATTTTAGGGGACGGCTGTAATTCCACGTGAGCGTGCAGCAAACACTCACATTGGGTGTGCACTGTGGTTCCATGTAACATCCTCCCACCCGTGGGATTGCCCTTACCAGCTCTCAAACTGCAGCCTGGCTCAAAGTCAAGCCATACTCTCTTTGGCCTGTGCGTCACAACCCCCTGTCCTGAGCCAGGTGGGACAAACAGCCTGTAGGGAAATGCTGTTTGTGCCTGGTCTGCACATTTTGGGGTAAAGCTTCTGGAACCAGGGCTTGATAATTGCACAGAAGCTGGCACAGGTTTTCACATCCCATCTTTCATTGCTTTGTCACTTCCACAACCCTAAAGGATTAAAATAAAGAAAGGTTTTGTCTCTGAAGAAGCTGGAAATGGCTGTTCCCCCACAGAGAACAAATCTTGGGGAAAAAAAGACTAGACTTACACCATTCTCAGCGCAGAGCATTCAAAGCAGAAAACTAGTGGTATTTGTGCACAGAGGAGAGGATGCTCAGTGTGCCAGGGAACGCAGTATCTCACTTCCAGAGCAAAATCAGCTTATGTTTGAAGCATGACATGACCACATCCCTCACTGAGGGCTAGCTCCTTTGCCTGCCATGGAGAAATTACCGTGGCTGTAAAGCTGACACAATGGCTTATGCAGCAAAATGCTGCTCTTAAGCAGCATGGGCGTAGCTAGTCAGCACCTGCTGGCTCAAGAACAAGCAGAAGCCCTTAGCGCCAGGCAGCAGAGCACTGAACTTGTGCTGAGAGGTACCAACCACCTTCGCTAGGCTCTGGTTCACAGCGTTCATTTAGGACGCCGGCAGTTTGCTTTTGAAATGATTTAATCTGGTTCTACCTGCCCCTCTGCCTCCAGCTGCGCATCCCTGCCTCCTCCCCAGCACCCAGCAGATGGTGAGCTGGCTCACAGACACCAGCTCTCTGAAAAGCAACCGCTCTGTTGTGTTGGTAGGGTTAGTTAGGTGGGGTGAGCGCAGGGCTGAAGGGGATAGGAGTACGAAGGGATGGGGTGGGATTAGCCTTTCAGCCGCTGTGCAGACCTAGATCAACTCCAGACATCCAGGAGGGACCTCACCACCGCTAGATCTCCAAGCCCATTGCAGACCTGCAACGCACAGAAGCTTATGGGGAACTGCACTTAATTCCACAAGATAAAGAGCTGTGCTCTGCAAGCACCAACTGTTCCAGCATTCAGGCTGGGGAAGATCCCTGCTCATCCCAATTCAGCCTTGTTCATCA